CTGCTCATTTGGACTACATTTTGCAATTTGGAACTATAAATACTAGCTTGGTTTAAAAACAACGCACGGGCCATTAGTTGCCATAGTTACCATTAGTTAGCCATTAGTTTACCTATGCACATAAGTGTTTTTCCAGAAGAGTCAGAATTTATAGTTCCAAATTGCAAAATGCAGTCCATTTTATCCGCAGATCCTACACTACACGTAATTTTAATATTTTGATAATATTTCTCTACACTTCAAACATTTAGTATACATTAGTAACACATTTACACACATTAGTACATTAGTATTGGTACATTTAGTAACATTTAGTATACATTTAGTAGTAATAGAATTTTTACTGGATTGAAGATTTAAAGGGTCGGTCAGGTCAGAGCATGCGTGTTTGAAAAGTTGCATCATTTGGGGGACTCGGAATTTCATCTTGGTTACGGTCCGGCGGATCTTCCTCGCCACAGTGGTGATTCTTGTAAGTTGCCAATTTGGAATCCATATTTTTAATTGATTTAAATTGAGGAAAATCGGTATTGACAACTTGTGAAATCGCCACTGCTTCGCCGTGTGATAACAAGTAATTTTTGTGAAATCTCCTACATGCTACAGCTACATGACCTAAATCGATGGAAAATATAAAAGAAGAGGGAACAGGGAGCTCTCTCAAAAAGTGGTGAAAAGTAGGAAAGCTGGAGGAGGAGGGGGAGGGGGCGAAGGATGAGTGCGCTCAAGAAACGACGGACGAAAGTGCTGCGAAAACGATAGATTCCGGTAGATTAGTTCTTTGGGAGAGCGGTGCCGGTTGCCGTTTTTGCCTCTTAGTGATCCCTTATCGCAACATTAAAAAATAACAAGAGAAGAATCCGCTACGCTCTCGGAATTACTCAGTGTGAAAATTGCTTCGGACGTAATTCGATTTCTTTTCGAATTCCAGCCAAAATTGAGCTGTGACTTGCAGTGGGGATTTTCAACCATTTCAGCTTACGTGAAATTTTTGTAGGAATACGATGCTGCAGCTGCGGGCTGATTTTTGAAATGTATAGACAAAGCTATAGACAAAGAATACATCGACGGTGAAACTACCAAACCACGTATCTCGTTTGCGGTGTTTAAAAATCTACGCTTATATTTTATTTTTTTGAAGTAGACCAAATCAATATCATTCCTTGAAATTTTCACAGAATTTTCTCCGCACGAAGAGGAAAAATCACAGAAATTTTCAAGACTGGACGTTAAGTAGTTTTTATTTAAAAAATAAAGTATGACAGGAAGTCTACGACGTCGCAAACCGAGATACGTGGTTTGGTAGTTTCACCGTCGATATAGAGGTTATGGAGCGATCCTATTGGTTGAAATGGTTGGTTCCCATAGGCCAAGGAAGAAAATGATGGACGAACTTTAGGGTCTCTCGTGGGTTGCTAGTAGTTATCCTATTATCTACCTCCTTTGTCCATTGTAACCACCCGCTTCCACGTATAGGATCCCTCAGTATTCTTTTGGCATTCTTTGTCTATAGGTTTGCCTACCAATTTCAACTATCAGCCCGCTGGTGTTTTTCTAAAGTCAACCCCCCGGCAGCCGATATCGGAGGAACAGAATTACTTCTTACACGGAGAAAAATTTCTTATTTGCGGATTAATAGGAATTCTTCATGGTACTCTAATTGATGTTAAAGTTTTTCCATGCGTTAATTCAAGCTTCCCGCTCATGAAAAACCAAAGTCTGCTTAAATTGAATCGCTCACTAAACATTACCGCGACAGTCTTGACAGTATGAAAATACAACAGCCTCAATCTCCTAGTTTCGGCTTAGCTATGGAAGCCGTTGCAGCGTCGCGCGTTTTTTCCACTGTAAACAGCACAGGGTGGGGCAGGAACACTGCTTGATTGCTTCTCAGCCCTAAACCGATAGGTTTGGGATGTAAAAAAGTCAAGTAACGTCAATTATAGGCTACCCGTCTTGTGTCTCCGACGCGAAACTTTTTTCCCGTGATAATTAATTTCCCGATGCTTTTAGGTGATGGTGGCTTCTAGAGCAAGTTGGCAATTGAGTCAGCTAGGAGCGTGAGGGCTCTCGACACTCATCACGGGAGTATGGCTGGTGAGCGAGCGGGAGGGGGGCTGGTAANGGGGGGGGGTTGGTAAGGGGTGGTGAGGGTCGGGGGTTGATCGATGATCCGGAACTGCTGATCGTTGCGATGTCGGTGTCACTCGGCATCTTGGAATGCTTCGAGTGGCTCCGGATCCGACTGTCGCGCACCTCCACCAAATCGCCCCGAAAATCCACCAGTGATGCTCCCATCTTTTCGAAATTAGCAGAAATTCCAGAGATGAACTTTAAGGAATGGAGAATTTGCACGCAAATATTCTATTGCTTCATCTGAAAGTGCTTAAACAGCTGATTTCACAATATTTTTTTATACTTTTTTTCTGATATGGGAAATAGTACAAAAATAAATTTAAAAGTGAGGAAATACACCGCCTACTGACGTCATCTGGCGGCATTTCCCATTTAAACACACGTATTGTAGCAAATTAGATCATTTTGTCATATCTTCTCTAATAATTGTTCAATTCCTGAACCAAAAGGTATTCTCGTGTTCAGTTCACTCAGCAGTTTCCACTCAAACACGAAATTCATCAAATTTCAGAACCTGAAAATTCTCTATTGGACCTATAGGTGGTCGAGCAAAAAATTTGTTCGAACGACTCCCCGTTAAACTGTGCATGATCAGCGTTACAAGCTCTCGGAAAACTGGAAAACTCCATGGAAAGTCAGGGGATTTTACCCAACTCTGGAAATTCATGAAATTTTGCTGCAGGACCTGGCAATTTTTCTCTTTATCTAATATATCGTATTTTTAATTACAAGGGTTTTCGCGCCTGAAGTTTTCGTGAAAAGCATTTTAATAGGAAATCATGCGGCAAAAAAAGAAAAATCACCAAGTGAGGGAATTTTATGGTCATAAGCTCCAGGAGTCAAACAATTTTAAAAATCTAGAGAACTTGACACTCTGATACTTATCAAAAAGACTCGTAGAAATCACTCGTGACTAGGATGAACAAAATTGACTTTTAACTTTTAAAAAAGTGATTCATTAGTTTTCTACTAGACAACATAGCAAAGTGTGTGATATCTTCCATGCTTAATTGATTATGTTACGATGTGTTTCAATAACATTAAAACACATTTCAGGAGCAGTTGGTAGGAAAATGTGCCAATATGCACAGAACATAAAGAGATACTGTGTCTTCTCATGCCCATCGCTTGTTTGAGAATAGGGTGTATAGTACATGTATTTCGCAGTCTTGGCGGAATTACTACGTTTATTTGAATTAGACCCGTCAAATTTTGAAAGAAATCGGGAAAAACTATTTTGGCGAAAGTTTTGAGGAAAATATGCTTTGTTGGAGGTGGGAGTTGTCTAAAACAGCAGACCCTATGTTATACGTTTAAAAAAAACTTCCAACGTTGCGTGGCCTCCTCGTCGCAACAAAGATTTTCGCTGTCAGAAAATCGACTGGAAAATGTTTTCAAACGACGATGAATCCGGGTTTCGGCAGGACTTGGCAAACGCCGGTGACGGCATCAGTTCACTGTCGCAAGATAGTTCTAAAAATCAGCACTTCTCTCAATTGAAACCCCCTTTTATGGCAGAATCTGTGAACCTTGCGCCAGTTTCCTGTTGGCCCGGATCGGATGGGTCGGGGCGCCAAGACGGGAGTTTTTCAGTGGGACGCTGAAAAATGACGGGGGGCAAACTACTCGGCGAGTTGACACCCCCGCTCGCCCTTCCGCCCCCTCCGCACCCCGGATGTCCCCGAGGGGGATGATTTAGCGCGGGGTTGGCCGCGCTCAGTTTTTATCGGTCCTCGCCGCGCGCCGAGGAAATTCACTCGCGACTCGGTCGCTTCTCGCACGTTAGAGCGCATCTCGATCTCTTGGTGAGCCCTGTCGTCCGTATAACTCCACCGTTTCCGGGATTCACGTCCAGATGGAGGTACGCCCTTACGTCGGAGGAGCCACGATTTGTGAGATCAACTGTCCGAGCCGAGCAGGGATATTTATCTTTTTAAACTCTTCTTTAATACACGAGTCCGTGTCCGCGTGTCCGGCTCCTTACATTTCATCAACGCCCCAAAGTTATGTCTTCCTTAAAAATGTTGCCTTTTTCCGCCAATCTTCAATCACGAGTCGTCGCTTACATCCCGCGCTTCCGCCGAAAACGCGTCCGTCGAGCATTTATAACAAATTTCTCAGCCTCCGGGAAAATAGGGAAAACCTGCAATAGAATCTTTTTGATTGGCCGGCCAAATCATGATCATTACATTGCCCTCTGTTGAAGTCCACAGAAACAAAGAGAATTTTAAAGCTCTACAGTAGACTATCGCTTTTTAAGTTTTGTATGACTGAATAGTCCAAGCGCTCAATTCTCAATTGAATACGGAGGGAGATTCCTGATTTCTTTTGATTTTTCTTTCTATGTGTACCGGACGAGATGGCATTCTCGTCCATCAAAATTTCACGCCTCAGGGCACGTTGAACTTATCGGAGCATGGATGTGTACTAACCATGTGCTGTGTCGAAGCTTGCGACTAAGGCCAAAGTTAACCCAACCTAGAGTCCCTTTATTCTGGGAGTCAAGACAACACCCCTCTTGGAGTCACAAACGGGAATAAAGATTACAGAAATTGCCTTTCTCCGTTCCTTCTTTCATTCCGTTTGTTCCTTGTCGAACCCGAGATTCCTCGGTCCATTCCAGATTATAATCTTTGCAATTGGTGAAAATGTAATCTTTATTCCCGTTTGTGACACTGTGAAGGCCTAAAATCCGGTTAACCAATCAGAAATGGATTCGCATTGTCTTGACTCTCAGTATAAAGGGACTCTAACCCAACCTAGAGAGAGCTCCGGATCTTAATTTAAAAAAAAAAAAAAAAAAAAAAAAAAAAAAAAAAAAAAAATTGAATTGAATTGAATTGGTTTTGTATGTTGTGTTGCAGATAATTGTGCGGAGATGCGGCGTGGGAAGATCTCCGACTCGAACTGGGCGTTGATCTCGGCGCTGGAGTCGGCGTGCCCGTGCTCCCGGACGGGGCGCTTCCTCACGATGCACAAGCGACGCCGGAAACGACTCACCAGCCGCAGCCTCAGCCAGGACCACCCGGCCCTCCTCGACGACATCCACCACGGATCCGTCCAGGTAAACATCCCTCCACATTTATTTATTTATTTGATCTTTGGTACAGAAATGTAAGCTCCTGGTAGAGCTATTGTACAGGTCAATTACACAGTATAACAAACTTATAAACAATGTATATTCACATTACTTTATCAAATGTCTAGGTACTAAGAAATTCACTAATGTCATAATAGGCTTTCTGCAACATTAGCCTTTTTATTTGCCTCAGAAAAGCGTGAACGTCATGGGATCGGAGGGAGTTCTTAATGTCTGAAGGGAGAGCATTGAAAAGTTGGATAGATGAGTACGTTATATTGGCCTAATATATTTATATTAGTGTATTTTCCTCGTCAAACCCCCAGCGCCTTCCATTTCTTCCCTATGCAATATCCACATCCGCCAAGTACGAACAGTCGTATCCAGAAATGAAGGTGTTGCGTGTGCGAGTAATTTCCGATTTGACTATTGATTCTCATGTTAAAGTTCGCCAGAAACACGATACTCCCACTGGTTTCCCTGAAATCAACTCCCAAGCTCAAAAAAAGCTCTCAAAGTTGAGAGCGTAATGGAGGGGATATCCCTCGCTATCCTGAGGGTCCACCTCTACATCAAGACAAACTCTCCATGTAAAGGTAGGAAGCAAATACACCGACAGGGCTGCCACTTTATTTGGGGACTCCAAAACCGAAAACGCGGCAACCCTGCTAATGTATTTGCTCCCTATCTTTGCATGGAGAGTTTGTCTTGATGTAGACGTGGACTTTCAGGATAGCGTTGGGTATCCCCTCCATTGCAGCCTCAACTGTCAACAATTTTTAAGGAAACTCGATTTCGAAAATTTGACGCTTATTACTGATCTCTTCGCTATCACGGCAGTACAGGTAACATCGCACAAGAACCATGTTGGGTTTTCACGAAAAAAGTGCGAAATTCTCTCTTTAGCGCGCAATCTGCGTAGTCGGTAACACGCTTTTTCAAAACCGCGTCTGCGATAGTTTTTCTCAGTGGCCGGCAATCAGGTTTGCCTAGAGACAGAGACTCTGACTCTCGCTATTCAGATCGTTGGAGGCAGTGTACAAAGGAGGTCTATAATAAATAAATTAACTAACAGTAACCCACGAGACACAGTAAAGTTAGTACATCATTTTCCCCTTTAGTCTATAATGATCACCTGTTTCAACTGATAGGATGGCTCTATTCAGCAGTCGTCTTCTTTGTCTATCGATTTGTCTATCAATTTCAATTATGAGCCGGCAGCTATCGGTTGAAGGTTTCAATTACTTTCTCAGGTATCTTTAAATGGCAACGCACTTATATGTTTATTTAGGATGTAAGTATGGACGTTGCTTCAGAGTCTTGTCGAAACGTAGCGACGCGACGCGACGGTGCGACAGGTGAAAAGGGCGGCTGCCCGGAGAGCGGGAGGCAGAGGATGCTGGAAATAGATGATGCTATTAAGTTACTAATACATCAAACGGATGCTACCTCTTTGAGTGATCGAAAAACACGCCTACTCTAATTCAGTTGCCATGGAGCCTGCCTTTGACGAGCCCCAACACGGGGAATATTCATCAAGCCTCGAATAATTCCGCAGTCGCACCAATCATCGCGGATGTTTAATTAAACTTTCTGCTGTTTGTAGTTCCATTAACTTGATTAACCCAAGCAGCGGCAGCCCCGCCGCGCCGCGGCCCAGCTGTTCCCGTGATGAAAACGCGCCAATTACCAAATGCACTCAACCGTAACGCTTCAAGTATGCGCTGAGATTGCAGGCGCATCGAGCCTCCGAATCGGGAATATTCAACAATGTACGCTCTCCGCGTCCCATTCACTGCCTCGGGGAGGAGCAACTATGGAAATTTGGGCAAAGAAAGAGGGCTCTTTAGTATATTACGTGAATTATCATCGTCCAACTTGATTGCGAAGCTCTTCATCCACTATGCGAGGGTGTCTACGAGTCCGGGAAAAATTAGAAGTTAACAAATACTCAAGATCCTCATGATTGGTCTGAAATTTGACTGCATTTTGCAATAAGGTAGTAAAAACTCTGGCTCGTGGATAAAAACTCCTATCTGCATAGGGATGCTAATGGCACATCTCTCGTCTCTGAAATGAGCCAGAGATTGTAGTTCCTAATTGCCAAAAGTGGTTCGATTGTAAAATGAGTTGAGGATTTAACTGTAAGCGTTGATATTTCTTCAATGAGTTGAATATGAATATTTTAAACATGTTCAGCGTATTTTGCATGATTTTTTGATATGGAAACACAGCTCGAAGTCTTTAAATGCTTCTCTGTCTAGTGGTCCACTTTGAGTCCCTAAAATGGCAGGTATAAATTCTTTCACCTTCGAACTAGTTTTTCCTGACCTACAAATCAGATAGTTGTAGCCCCAGTCTGATCAGGCACTTCCGTGTGTTTTTTTTTGTCGAAGTTTCCGTGAAATTTTGCTCTGAGCAGGAATGTTAAGAATTCAATTTTGAGTTTTTCGACTCTAAGGTGCCTTTTCCTGTTGATTGTCAGAACTAATGCCGATTTTTTTGTTTTGTTTTGGATATGCAAAGACATGAAATAGAGGAGGGAAAAATTCAAGATTTCTTTAAACTTGAGGGTACTATAATAGAATTTTCCGTTGGAGCACGTGGAAAACCACAACGCCACGGGTCGAGACCATAATTCTGCCGTTCTAAGGAAGAACGCCGTATGAACATCCGAGAGTTGCCAAATTTCTTTAGATAAAATATTTGTTTTTGAGTAAAATTATGGATGTTTTTTCTTGAAATTTTCAAACACTTTAGATCAAAGTACAAAGGAAATTTTGCCTAAGATTTTACCCAAGAAATTGGCAGAAAAATATTCAAAAATTTTCCTGAAAATTAGTGATTCGCCAGGGTAAATTCGGCAATGCCTGAAGGCTCATACGGCGTTCTTCCTTAGCACGGCAGAATTCAATTCAGGTTAGGTCAGAAAGGCCCATCCTTATTTTCATCAATTGGTACTATCTTGTATAAAATGATGCTACAAAGGTTTTCCAAATTCTCGGAAAAGGCCACCCCGGGCCTTCTTCTCTCCAGACCCTTTTCTTCGTGTGTAGGTCATGAGCATTTCTCTCCCCCCCCCCCCCGTTTTCCCTCCATAATCATCCCCCTCCATTCAAACTTGTGTGTGGGGCAACCCGCACATTTTCAATTCCCCTCGAATGTTTCCTCGTACGTGTTCCTTATCTTATCGAAAGGCTGATGATGCTATTCTCGGGCTAAGTCTGAACTTAAGCCTCTTTATCACGGCTAAACTGTTTATACCGGTTCAGAAAATAGACGATGATGTTTTTTTCGTCGTCCACCTCAATCCAGCGTTGCCGCCTTTCGAAAAAGTGTAACGCCTCGGAATTCATCGAAAAGCATGAGCATTTTCGCGCCTCGTCTGACAACTGTAGCAGTCCTGCCGTTGCCAAACCTCAAAGTTGAATGTTTCGTAATAAATCTGACGTTCTCAGCAATAACAGATCAACTCCTGTGGAAATCCTATGCACATTCGTTGTTCTTGCCTAGTAGGATCGTGAGAAAGTGTAGTGGAGTACGATCTTTCAGATACGGCTGTTTTTCTGATTTTGTATGGTCAGATCATTCGTAGCCGTTGTTAGTGGCAAAGAATCGGTTACCTAATATGTGTCAATAACTCCTGATTTGTGAAACTTTTCTGCCTTTTCGCCAGCTCACAATCAGTTTTTGATTGCGACGCAATATTTACATTGATCAAGTTCACCGCTTCAGTGTTGTGTCGTCCTAGCTCTGATTAATTTCCAACAGAAGGGAACATAAGTTTGAAAAATCTGAACATTTTCTTCCTAAGACTGCCAGTCTGTTATAACTTTTGTTGAATTTTTTACTCTTTAAAAAGTTTTTAAATTTTATTATGGTCGACCGGTTGGCCGAAGTAAACGCTAAAATTTTTAATGGTGCGATGGAAACTCGTTCCTCTGTAAGTTTGCAAACAATCTGCAATCGTTGAACTGAATATTCGACTCATGAATGTTCTTTCACCAGCTTGCTTGTGGCGATCCGCCTTTTTCATGTATGGTCAAAGTTCCTCTTTCCTATATTTTTAACAAGTGGTCGTGAACTGATAGCCCGAAGTATTTTCCTGTTAGAAATCGCTCAAGTGCGCTGCAATTTTTCAACAGTAAACGTCTGTTTTTCATCTCTACATTTCCAGAATAAACTCGTTTCTCATTACTTCTCCAGTATTGCGATTTATATTTTACGTGAAAACTTTAAAATAGATGTATTAAGAATTTATTCTCGTAGAAGCGAACGACATTGGTTTCCAGCAAACGCTGTTACGATATCGTGTGGCAACTTTATTTTTGAAATTCGTCTTTGAAACTAAACTATTTTTATAATAGTGCTAACTCTTCTAGTGAATGACATTAAACTCAAATTATCTTCATTTAAACGTCACCTCTAAAGGAAAAAAATCTCTCGGTAAACAAGGTGTTAAGAATTAATTGGCGAGAAAGTTCATAAATAAAACGTGTGTGATTCAATCTCATCTTGCATTGTGATTGGCCCACTTTAATCAAAACTAGAATACGTGCAGCACAGAACTTCCAATATCAAAATCAACGCTACGCTCCAACCGATCTGCACCGCCCCTTCAAATTTCAGAGTAGGCCAGACACGCTCCGCTAAGCAGGAATAGTTATCTACCTAGCACGGCGCGGCACCAGGACGCTGAAGCATTCAAATAACCTTCTCTGCCATTCGATCATATTTGAACCTAACCCTGTTGTGTACATTTTTGAACTTCAAGTCTTTTGAAGTTTCAAATCCTAACTGTTTTGTGGATCATTTTCAAATTTATATTCACACTAAGATTTCTACCAGGTTTATTTATTTCCACCTCTGTATCGTATTTTAAACTATTTTAGACTTGAGATTTTTGAAAGAAAGGTTCTCGTTTCCTTGGAAAACCCAAAGTTTTAACCCGCATTTAGTGTCACACCTGATACATTTTTTCAAACTTCAAATTGAAAGTTTTTCCCACCACCACGTTGAGTTGGAAACAACCGTCGCAAATTTTTTAAAACTGAAGATCGAAAAACAATTTTTCCACCAACACGTTATCAGAATCAAACTCTTTCAAACTCTTTCAAACTCGAGATCGAAAGTCCTCTTCTTCCTCATCACGTAGAATCGGCCCAAGCGTCTTAGACTTTTTAAACTGCAAATTCAAAAGCATATATCCGTGCTCTGGCCGACAGGTGGAGCCTAAAATCCAGCCCCATCTGACGAGTGGAAATCAAGGATGTTCTCACCAGAAGCCATGACCTCAACCTTCATCTTGTGCCTGATGATCCTGCACTCGGCACCCTCTGCCGTGTCTCTTTGCTGCCCGTCCCTGTCGGCCTCCTGCCCGCTGAGCGTGCCGGCGGCGCTGACCCAATGCTGCTCGTACGGCAAGTGCAACGCCTTCTGCTGCGACTGCGAGGCCGAGTGCCGGGTGTCCGGCTGCAACTACGCCCTCGCCGAGTCCAGCTACACCGTCGAGGTGGACCCCAAGACGATCATCTCGGACCTGCGCGACTGCCGCTCGGCGGACGGCGCCGCCTGCACCCGCTCCTTCCCGGTCGTGCGCGCCTTCCACGAGTCGGACCCGGCCTCGCTCCCGGCACCGGTGCTGGAGCTTATCGCCGCTGAGCTGGACAAGAAGGACACGGTGGCCGCCGTCACGACGACCAATCTGAGGATCCCGTGCGACGTAGCGTCCGGCGACCAGGCCTGGATCTCGCAGAACCCCGAGTTCGCCGTCCTCTCGGGGGTCTACGTCTACAAGTGCTGCGAGGGCAACGGGACCTGTCGTGTCGAGAATCGGAAGGAGTTCAGGTTCCGCAAGCCGCGCGTCGATTCCAACGGGTTCAATGTCGGGAGTTGGGCCTGCGAGTCCGTTGACGAGAGCGATTTCGCCGGCAGAAGGGCCGGCTTTGATTCCTGGACCGCTCTTCTTGTTCTGTTTTTCGCTGCTCTTTGCGTCGTTTTGCTCTTCCGCGATTTCCGCAAGGTCGAGGATAGGCATCGGGGATATTTTGTTATTTAGAGCGGCTCACTCCTCAAGTCCTCATGCCAATGCATATCGCAGCGAGTCCATCGGAGGTAGAGTCCCTTTATACCCAGAGTTAAGACAACTCACTTTTGGTTGGGCTGAAAGTGGCCTAAAAAAAAATCCAATTCTGATTGGTTCTCGCTCATGGAGGCCGAAACGAGTGCACCAAGATGGCGGTACCTCGAATGTGAACAAGAATAATGAAAATATTACCTAATTGTGGTTTATCAAGAGTAAATTGTTATTTCCATCGGTCCAAAATGAAAATAGATTAAGAAATTTTTCACAAACCAATCTCATTTTCTTTTTAATTAATCAAATTGTTGATGTTGTTGTTTTTGTTTGACAGACATCGCAGGATTCCTGATCCTTATCCCTCAATATCGTTCGTTTGGGTGCACTCGTTTCGGTCTCCATGGCCAGCCAAGGCCGGCTGCCAGTCAGCTCATAATCGAGTTGTCTTAACTCTGGGTATAAAGGGACTCTAATCGGAGGTGGCGATTCTTCCAAGTTGGATACACTCTTATTCTCCATTTAAATGTATGCTAAACAATCGTTTCTAGGTGAAACCTTTCTTACCTGTAACCGGTATATTCGATGGATTTAAATGGAGTATTGACAGTGTTGCTAACTGTCTGGAATGGCCACTGTCGAAGGCCACCGGGGAAGGTCGGACATAATGTGGGAATTTTAAAAACTCTAACCTTCATCCTTACAAAACGTAAGGTTGCGTAGTGGTTCTATCGGTTTCCTGTTAAATTGCCTTCAAGGGGTATCCCTTAAACTTTACAAAGTGACGAAACTTTCCAGTTCTAGTTGTAAATTTCGTGTGCGACCTCTTACCATGACTTGCTATGTGTGCGTCGCGCAACTGTGCCATTTCAGATAATGATTTCCCTCTTCCATCAGCTGTTAAAATGGATCTTCAGCTTTTGACTCTGTGTATCGCCATCACCTCTTTTGTAGATTTTACTCATTGTGCTATTTTTGTATTATCGGAATGTCAGTGTGTGGATCACTTCTAAAGAAATCTTCGTAAAAAAAATCGACCTCCAAAGCCTTAAAATAAAATTGTATTAAATTGCGAAGTACCTACCTGTCAATATTAATTGGACTACATTTTGCAATTTGGAACCATAAATTTTAGCCCGGTTTAAAAACAACGTATGTGCCATTAGTTTTCCTATGCAAATCAGTGTTTTTCCATAAGAGTCAAAATTTATAATTCCAAATTGCAAAATGCAGTCCAATTATCGATTAAAAACAATAATTCTGCCCAAATTTCAAGGTTTTGAAATTGGTTTTTTACAAAATAAATATCCCTCAGTGGTTGAGTCAGAGACTGGCATCTTGATATTTCCAAAATAATCCTCCCTACTAAGGTAGAAAAATCTATTGATCCCATCATGAATACGTTGCGTTCAAAAGGAGGATTCGCTCTTAAAAGTTCAACTTACACTTACGATTGTCTTTTGTTGAAAACAAAATTTGTATTTGTCACCGCAGTTGCATGCTAAGTCACCAACACGAGAAAATTGGAAAATTTCCATTCCTCGAAAATATGTTCTCTATTAAGGCGTAAAGCAATTTTGAAAATTTGAATGTACACAATTTTCCTGAAAAAACGCCTCATTTGATTGAAGAACGCCGTAAAATAAAACCTACTCTCTCTATAATCCCCATAGTTCATCGTAGAGCCCCATTCTTAAAATTCATCGCACATAAATGCACTTAGTGAAGCTACATATTTAGTAAATTGATAAAAAAGTTTATTAACAAAGAGTCAACTTAAGTCGCAGTTTGTCTGCCATTTTTCGCTTCATTGTAACAGATTCATTTTTCAAAAGTTGAATTTTTCCTCTAAATTTCAAAAACAATAATTGGATTTGGATTTTTTGTAAAACTTGGTGAAATAAATACCCGATTTGTTCACAAGCTTTGTTCCATTTATGTGAATAGCACGTTCCATTCGTAAACGTTCACTTGATTTGAGCTTCATACGATAACTTTGATTCGAAAAGAACGTTTCTACGAGACAATGTGAAGTCTCGTTTTATAACGAAGGTCGTGGTGTGTCTTGCGCAGAAAATTATCTTCAAGCCTTTTTTCTTCTCGTGAGATGAGCGAAGTAGCACGTTACACCAAGAAAATGTGCTGAGCTAAGACAGAGCAGAGGTAGCTTAACTGCATTGTTGTCACTTGAGGCTAACATAACATGATAAGCCTTCCTCTCAAGCTCCATTCCTACATTTCACTTTTTTTAAAGCAAGAAAGAAAGCAAAAAAAAACCTCTTTAAGTTTCAGTTTTTTGGAAATTTTTTCCATTTGTATTTTATGTGTATTTGATCTAGACTTTATGATTGAATTGCCTTCTATAAAGCCTCGCCACAGGACGTAGAGGAGCGGCTGAAATTTTCCCTTTTTTTGGGGAGGGGAAGGGGGGTGCTGATGCAAATGATCACGTGAAATTATACCATTAATCAATTAGTACGATAGATACAATAAACTATTTTGAATAGCCGATGTAAACAAACAAGTTGTATATATTTCGGTTGTAGGAAAAAAATACTAATTCTTATAATCTAATCATTGTTACCACAATTTTATTAATGATAGATGAAATTGTGTGGAATAAACTATTTCATACATCCAGGCTGTCCTTGTTAAGCCAAATTTAATAGGTATAATAATACAAAATTACAAGAAATTAGTATGATAGAGCTCACTGAAAAAAACAATTCTTGGGGTATTATTATGACCTATAAAGCGTTGCCTCTTGTCAACAAAATTTGGATTTTCTGATTTAAATCCGTGCGAGTTTAATGCAAAGTCAATTATTTTGAAATAAAGAAACCTTCTTTTGTTATCGTTTTAGTAACTTAACGGTAACAAAACGAGCTTTTTTAACTAATAAAAACTGATGTTGAAAAAACCAAATTTGATTGACAAGAAACAACGCTTTAAGTCAAAATAATATCTCCAGAAAAATTTCCCTCAGTACTTTGAAAAACAAAAACAAGGAGGGAGCAATACTCCCTCTTACCCTAGGGGAGCGAGAAAGTAAGAACGCCTCTTGCGGTTACGACGCACGGTTGAAATTTTTTTGTTACAATAGAATGTTGGAAAATCAGCGGCTATTTTCATTTTCTGACATCTTGTCGGTAGTTTTTTTTACTTTTTTAAGAAAGTTCATCGACACAAATTTATCTAATTCCTTCGGACATCACGGTGCCTAAAAGCATTTTACTCAGCTGTATCACTCGTCAGCTACGCATGTCTTTCGTTCAGGTTCTCATGTTACTCTCATTGGAGCAGTTTATAGGTCCACTCACATCCAGTGACGATTTTTTTAGTTAGCGACACTATTTTTTCTCCTTTTAAGTACAGTATGAACAGTCAGCAAACTTGTAAGTTTCGCCATTGGGTCAACCCGTGAGAGTGACACAGCAATCTAGACAACTAAAATACCTGTGACGAATCTAGAAGTACCGCAATATTAGTTTGCAGACACGTCATCACATTTTTTCTAAAACTTTCTTCTCGACCTTGCTGTATTAATTCTGAGGATTCTAGTCACCTTTTTCTTGCAAGTAAGTGAGTTAGTGTGGATGGTTGAAATGAGAAACTCTCAATAAGAGGCATCAAAGATTATAAAATTGCCAACATCATAAAAAATGAGATGGCGTGTGAAAAGTGTGTCCTTTGTTGCACGACGTTTTAACAGAACAAAGGCCGTGCCAGTTTTAAGGAAATAAGTATTATTTTCAAGTGAGCTGCTGTAAAATCTGCCGACTTGGCCAGTATGGATCTGAACGTGGGACCTGGCGCAAATTCTATCGTCGCGGGCATATCTTAAGCATTCATCATCTTCGCGATAAAACTAAAAGCGGGAGCACTGGGAGTAGTGCGTCTAGTCCACCATCATCAGTCCACAGGATTCTTTACTGACCTGTACCACCTTTTTTCCCGTGCTTCGCCCATTCAGCCTGAATTCTCGTCTTTGTTTTTAATCTTAACTTTCCTGTGACGTCAAATCGACGCTTTTTGGTGATCGGTTCAAGTGCAATTAGTTGCGATATCTTCAGTGAATGACAAGAATTTTACAGTGGTTGCATCTTGCAATTTGATATCGGAATCCACTTTGCATTTATTCTATCGGAGAGAAAATAAATAAACCGATAATTTTGTAAGATGCGTAGGTTTATAATGCGTACTCGCTGAGGAAACTTTATGTCACCAAATACCTGGGCAAATATCGTCTCAACTTTTTGCAATTTTTTGTACCTCAATTGCAAAATCTTAATGTATAAATAAATAAATATCGAGAGTGATCGGAACATTCTTCGAGCTTGTTTTGAAAGTTCTCATTGAACTTTGTCGTCAAATAAACCGCAACCAATTATGTATCTACTAGTTTCTGTGATTTATTTTCTATCATGAGAACTCTTGCACTCGTAGGGATTGAATCTACTTTTGGAAACTTTTGGAGTGGTGAAGTTACTCAATTTATGAGCGTGGTGTCCGTCGGAAAACCTTCAACTTTTTTCCAATCAGTGTTTTGATGATTTTATCTTGCTTTTCCCCGCATCTTTTAATTAATTTAAAACAGATTATACTGGCATTTTTTGCATTTTAAATGAAGGTGAGCCGAAGAGTGCCTCGCATTGAGAGGACAAAAACCGTCACATTAACAAGTAAATTAATTTGTCCGAAGGATCGTATTCTGTCAAAAGTTTCCAACGGCTTCCGGAGCCAGAGGTGACTCTTGCATTGACTTCTGAACAAGTTGAGTAGAGATCTCTCTGATAAGGATTCTGTCTGAGAGCATTTGACTTGTTCTAATTAGAGTTTTATCTCGCATTTTTCTCCTCAACTTTCAATTGAATGGAAAGACATTGGACTATGAAGTGCGAGGCGGTTTGTATGACGGATGCAGTTATTGTGACTTGAGTGCGTGAATAAACTTATCTGTATCGGGTGAAAATTTTGCAACATGGCAGTGACTGCTTTCGTGGTAGCATAAATCCTGGGCAAGTTTCGTCAAACTAGAGGAGCATTCTTTCACTCACGCAGCGGAGGAAATTTTTAAAGTTTACGCGCCAAGGTCGAGAGTGGCTTTTCATTTGCAGCGAAATTTATGCAATTAGCGCCGTCCCTTTTTTCCCCGGGCCTCGGGCGTCGTCGTAACTCGGAAACTTTCGGGGCGTCAAACAAGCTTTTAAGTGCGGAATTCGCCAACTCGCGACTCGCCAAATTGAAACAGAGCGATAAGAGGGGGCGCCCGGGTGAGGCTCCATCGTCCGCGAAACGCGTGCCCCCCCCCCTTCGCCCTTCGCCCTTCGCCGCCCCCCCCTCCCTCGCGTGAGCTTGAAAAAGCGGAGTGCGAAAAGCGGCAAGTTGGGCGGATCCATGCTCGGATACTCGGGTGACTATCATGGCGGTTGCCAAGCTCGTAACTCGGGTGAGCTTTTCATTAGTGTGCGTCAAGTTTTGAAATCCCCTCCGTCTTGAGGAAACTTCCGGGAACTTGCCCCGAGAGCGGTGCAGTATAAAATACCTCTCGATCCGCTCATTAGTTATAATAATAACGTCTGTTGCACTCGCACTAAATCCTTTTCGCTCCGGCGTGTGTAGCTTAATGACTCCGCCAGCTTAACTCACTCCTCAAAGCTCCGCCGAACTAAGAAGGTTTTCTCTATTAATTACCAAACAGGCAATTAATCGAGTGTTTCTCCGTTGACGCTAACTTCTCCAATAGATCATCTCCAGGAATATATAAGTTGGGTGCAACGTGCTATAGAGGCCGCGCGTGTGGTCTTCAGATTGAAACTATTGATTGATGATCCATTCATGGACCCCAAATTATCAAAAAAATAAACGGAAACAATATTTTAAGTCTTGTAGATCCGATCATAGACGGACAAAGTTGTTGAAAAAAGAACTTGTATACTAGAAGTAAATGTATGGTACACGCAAAGAAGAAAAATTTCAATTTGACTATCAACAGCCTTTTGTGCGATAAATCTCTTGTCAGAATAAAGAGGGGGAACATTAACAGTGTTTGAGAACACATTAAGATCTGTCCACCATATTCTTGTGACAACTTATCTCGATCATTTTTTACACTTGTCCAATAGCTGCATGGAATTTTAGCTGCCTGATCAATTGTTAAAACCATCACCGGCACATTTTTACTGGACTTTTGAATTTTAATCAGTCTTGAACATTCAAAAGTTTAATTTGACGACAAAGAACGAAAGACTTTTCGTCACCGTTTATTTTATCTCTTTTTAAATTTTTTTATCAAGGCATTAAAGTTCAATTACCCACTGGGATTTTTTTTTTAAATTCTCAGGCCAATACTATTTCTGGAGGTCAGAATAATTGCTTACAATTGAGAACAGTCTTATCACCATTTTAAGCAAATTATCACGGGTCAGAGGCTATAAAGAAACTGTGTAGTTTCTCATCCAAAACTTCAAATAACCGCTATAATTGTACTGAAATTGAGATAGAAGTGTCGTCCTGATGTTTTAAAAAACCATCTTATCGCATCGCGATTTTATAATTCGTCACTTAAATTATATTGGAATTATGAAAAAATTATCGTCCTAACGTCCCCAAAAAACTGTTCCGCTAAAGTGTGCTTTTGAAACTGTCTCGTTGCATATCTCACATGCACTCAAAAATCATTCAAGTGTCGCTGCAATCTACAGATGAGCATCGTCCTATGTTCCGCATTTCGAACTCGATATTAATCATCTAGGCATTAGAGATCAGGAAGAACTGTCAACTTAAAGATGGGCCGAAACGAGCTTTTCTTCATATCGAAAGCGACTTGCTTAGTGTTATTCGGCTACCTCCTGGTTCCGGCCGGTTCCCACTGTTGCCCGGCTCTGTTGAGCGGTTCCTGCCCGATGGACAAACTATCCTCGACCTACGCCTGCTGCTCGTACGGCAAGTGCAACCTCTTCTGCTGCAACTGCGAGCTGGAGTGCAGACTCAAGGGCTGCAGCTACGAGCTGGAGGACGCCGTCTTCTCGGACGTGAGCGACCCCGAGGTCCGGGTTTCCAACACCCTCCACTGCAGCCGCGCCGGGCCCTCCTGCCACCTGAGCCTCACCATCCAGCACGTCTTCGAGGCCTCGACCGAGCTCGGCGTCCAGCTCTCGGTCCCGGTGCTCCGGCTCATCAACGACCGCTTCGCCGTCACCTACCGGGCCAACGTGACGGAGCGCACCGCGGCCGGGCTCGGCTACCGCTGCGCCATCCCGCCCGGGCACCGCGGGTGGGCCACCCAGGCGCCCCGCTTCGCCGTCCTCGCCGGCGCCTTCGTCCACAGGTGCTGCCACCCGCGCGGCAAGTGCAACGTCACCGCTCGTCGCAGCTTCCGCTTCCGGAAACCCATCGTCGCCGAGCAGGGCCTCAACGTCGGAGACATCTACTGCCGCACCCAAGAGGATCCCCTCGATGTTGCCCACGGACCTAGAGGGGAGGGGGGAAGTAGGCTTAGGGAGAATTTTATCCTCGTCTTGTTCTTGATGCTCGCCGGCTTTCTCCTTTTGTATATGTTTGTGTACCTCGCGTCTATACTCCTCTCTTTGTATCAAAATTCTACGGCCAGGTCGCATTCCTAATCCTCGTGCCAATGAATTTACATCACTGCCGTCCAACGCAAAAACGCCCTAAACGTTATTTTACATTTTTTGGAAACGATATATCATAGCAGAAAAACATGTGTACCTTAGGACAAAGTTTTTACAGAATCCTTTTGCGAACATTTTCAAAAACTTAACCTGAAAATTTGATGTGCATGGGTAAAACGGTTTATATTTTATGAAGTGTTGAGTTCCAAAAACACGAGGGAAAATCTTGATGGATTAATGACGTTTTTGCCTAGCACGGCAGATTAGGGGTGTAGCCAAAAAGATCTGAAAAATCAAGCCCGGAAACCTGGTGGTTGAAGGAAGTTTCTATTTTTGTTTTAAATGTTAACAATGCTCAATAGAAAAAAAAATCTGGATAATATGATAATTTCTCTGCAAAACGTCAGGATAAATCAAGACGTTTCCACTAATGATAATGTTAAAAATACATCCCAGCATGTTCCTTCCAACAAAAGTAAGAGTTGATTTCCTGCACTCGCAGTACATTTCAGGGACAGGTTTTCTGCAAGGAAATATTCCTAAGAAAGTGTGCTTATGCTCAGTTGCTCTATATCATGCTCTGGCACTGTTAGAAATGAGATGATGCCGCGATCAGACGCTGAATTTAGCACCTGAATGTGGAAGTCAACAGTCATCGCCCAACGGCTGAAATTTAGCAAATTCGAGTTATTTTCATTCAGATGTGTATCAAATCTACTCGAATAGTTCAGACAAATTCAAAATTGGTCCGATGGTTGCTGAGAATCGTTGCTGAATTTTGCGCGTCACGCGCAAAATTCAGGCATCGGGCCGATGACTTCCACGTTCAAGCCACATTCAGCTCCCACATTCAGCGTGTGATTGCGGTGTAACTTCATTCCAAGCATACAATAGTTGTATGTGAAACTCTACGTCCTGGACTCCTGGCCGACCCCAGTAACGTAAATCAGATACTACACTCTTGCCACATCGCAAGATACCCAAGCTATTTTGGCAGAAAAATGTATATACAAGCATTATTACAAGTAAGAAATTTACGTGGTGCAATGATTTAATTGCATTATGCTGTAAGGCAGACATTTTTCAAGAGTTGAGAGCTTTTCTTAATACATTAAGAGATCCAAGATTTACCAACCAATATCTCGAAAATTCAGAATTTTGCTTTCATTTGACAACGAAGTTGATACATCCTTCGGCTCTTACAGACTGATAAGATTCCTGATTGCTCTAATTTATGAACACTTTATCATCGTCTCAGTGCTTTAGCCACAGCGCAGCGTGCCCAGTACAGCAGTTCACGCTCGGATAAGGTGGCATAGAGTAAGCAAGCAGTCTACCTAGTTTTCGGAAATTTTCGCCCATTTCAGCCGAAAAATGTACAATTTTTCATGGATTTAGTGTGTGATTTTTTACGTTAATTTCTTCTAAATTCCACGATGATAGCGCATGTTTCAAGTAAAGATTATCTGTCTTTGAACTATAAAAGTTTTTGATAAGAGATACTTGATAACGGCAAGGTGTGAAGGTTAATAGTCTCAGCACGCTCAGCACGCTCAGTTGCGGACAATGCGCTTCCAACACGAGAACCTGAAAATCTAAGTTCTTCATACAAAATCTCTATTTTGTGTATGCGCAGTGAGGATCTAAATATTCTAATCACAAAATCAATCGCTCCTGGTGTGTTTATCGCAAATATTTCGTATTCCCCACAATATTTTAGTGACGTTCCGCGTTTTTGTATTTTCGAAGCCCCGCCAAATCCAAAATCAGCTCGTATGCTGTACTCCAAACTTTGCAACAAAAATATTAAGATCCTATAAATCATACGATTATTAATTCGATCTTAAATCGTTGCGTCAGCTAATCACGTTTATCGAAACGATTTATCGAAGCGAGCCCTTTGGGTGAAGTGTTGATTTTTCCGAGTCTAGAGACAAATCGTGTGTGCTTTGTTCGTACCTTATCCATGCAAGAAGTGAAACACTCTTATTTTCAAGATCCGACTCAAGTCCTTTCTCTGTGCGTGCGCGCGGAACAATCAGAAGAGAACCACTCGGTAGCGAAAAGCGCCTTCGGATTTTTGATTTCAAACTGTGGGATCCGCTTAGTTGAGCAAGGATGATGAAGCCGAGATCCCAACTTGTGGTTCTGATGAGCGTGTGCTGCCTGTTGGGGCTGGCGCGGCCCGAGTGTTGTCCGTCGATGGCCAGTTCCTGCGGGATTCCGTTCCCGAATTTCCTGTGGCAGTGCTGCTCCTACGGGGACTGCAACATCTTCTGCTGCAACTGCGACTCGGAGTGCAAGGTCAAAGGCTGCGAGTACACACTCGTCAACTCAACGTTCTCAAATCAAACCGATCCAGAGGTGGGTACAATCTAATCACTTCTCTTTTGTCATATTAAATATTTTCTTCAAATTTCTTTCTCTTTTCCACACGTTGTGAATTTTATTTTGAATCAGAACTCAGCAAAAATCCTAACGAGCATTTACTTCTACTTCGGTTTGTGGAATGTAGCCAAGTGCTAGAAATAATGTAATATTTTTTGGAAAACTTACATTTTATTCTTACCAAAATACCAAAAATACGCGAAGCAATCATTCATTAAAATCTAGTCGAGATCAAAAAGCTTAGCTGAAAAATTAGCAAATGTTTAAAAAAAAAAATGAGTACAAAACAGCTTTTAAGACTATTAACAGCATACTAGACAGTATAAGGAAGGTCACCGACAAAATAAAAAAAGATATCGGCAATATTGGTAATATTAAGAATGTAACTGGCGTTTGCCGTACCTATGGATTGTAATTCATGCAGGAAAATATATGTCGGGAAAACTGAGCGCTCAATCAACTGTAAAGTTTATGATTTCATGATACTTCCAATACTTCCATCCTCGAACGTATTTCAGCACATCAAAGCAGATAATCATCAGATGAATGATAAGATTAAAATACTAAAACTTGCTCCTTCGTTGAAAAAACAACTTTACTTGAGTCCACTTTATTTTCTGGGTCACAGTAACGTCCACTGATGATTCTATACCTGAGCAGAATCAATTAAAGTTTTTTTTTTTTTTTTTTTTTTTTTTTTTTTTTTTTTAAACCGAGGAAATTCAAAATTGAAAAAAGGAAATTCATTTTTCAATGGTAAAAGTGGAAACTTTGAAACGCTGAATGTTTTATTCTTCTTTGAGGCCTTTCGATTCAAGAGAATCATATTCAGGCAGGATCTTGATCACACGTGAAAATGGTCTAATAAATATTTTTTGGTTTACAGAAAAACATAATACTAAACTTCGATTAAACAACATCTTAAAAAAATCTTAAAATTTGTCCGATCACCTAAGTTCCGGGTTGCCACAGTCAGGAATTCCTGGAAAATCGGGAAAGGTCAGGGAAAATGACGGAAATGTCCGGGGGAAATTGATTAAGCACCTTTATTTGCTCTTTAGAGTGGGTTTAACGTTTCAAATAACACATTTTTCCCAAAAACTATTTATAATTATGTCTCTTTGACCATTTGGTATATCCTCAATCATCAAGGAACCTCCTCAAAATATGTGAGGAAAATCAGGGAAATGTCAGGGAATTTCATTTTCTAGATTTGGTGGCAACCCTGAGGTTTTTGGTGGATTTCACCGTATTTATCTGAAGTCAAAGTAAAGGTCTCGATACACGATCAAATTCCCGAACCAATTTCCATCAAAGTGTTAGGAGTCATCAGTCTTAAAATCATTAATTTGCTCAATTTTAAAATGAAAACTCGGCAGAAATATTGCCTGTGGCAGGAAATGATGAATGGTGGCACTCCATTATGATCGCAACTTGACGGCCCGTCCAATTTTGATCGAGGAGGACTGTTGCATGGTGACGCTCACTGCCGTGCTAAAGAAAAACGCCGTAAGAAGCTTCAGGCGTTGCCGAATTTCCTTTCAGTAAACGCGAATTTTCTTGTAAAGTTATGAATATTTTCCTCCCAATTTTTCAGATAATTTTATTCGCAATTCCACCTAAATATTCTGAAAATTTAAAGGAAAATCACTCGTAGCTTTCCTCGAAAATAAACGTATTATCAAAGTAAATTTGGCAACTGTGGAATGTTGATACGGCGTTCTTCCTTAGGACGGCAGACGAGTCATCCAGTGGTCTACTTTGATGAGAATTGGTTCGGAGTTTGATGGTGTATCCGGAGCTCAAGGATAGAGAGGAAAGTTTTCAAAGGTGTGGTTTTGATTGTGCTCAGGTGACGGTGAGCAACGTGGTTTCCTGCTCAGAGAACTCGCGGGACTCGTGTCGGATCGACATGGAAGTGACGAGGGAGTTCGAGGCCGAGCAAGAGAGCAAGGTCCACCTGGGGCTCCCGGTCATGGAGCTCATCGCCAAGGCCTTCTACTGGGAGTACAAGAGCTCCGTCGCGGAGAAGACCTCCAAGGGCTACACCGTCGAGTGCCCCATCAACCCCGGGAGCGAGGGCTGGCTCGGGCAGGAGCCCCTCTTCGCCGTCCTCCAGACCACCAAACTCTACAAGTGCTGCCATGATGGCTCCTGCCACTTCGTCTCCACCGAGAACATCACCTACCGCATGCCTATCGTCCTTCCGACGGGCGTCAACGCCGGCAGATTCAACTGCCACGATAAAAAGCTCCAACAGAAAAGCAGACCCTCCGGCAATGTCCTTGATAATAGTATCCAGTGAACTACCCGAATCCTCTCCACTCAGAAAAAGCTATGGCTTGTACACCAATTAGTCGTTTACATGCAACACCACTAATATAGTGAAGGCAACATTTCAAAATAGCACATATATACCTTAGTGATGGTATTTATACCTTAGTATGCTACGAGACACCAATAAAAACACATTAAAATACAAAAACAAGTGGGTTTACACGGCTGAGGAAATAATTCCTTATTATAATCAACTTAGTTAATTCAAATTAAATTATCCAGGTATGAAATAAAATAAATTACCCATGGGATAACAGCGTAAAATTTTTGAGAATATTTCCTTCGCCTTGTAAACCCATTTGTTTTTGTATTCTAATGTGTTTTTATTACTGTGTGCATTCGGGCTATTGTGTCTCATCTCTCTTTTAGTACGAGATACCTTAGTATGGTTCACAGACCGAGAAACATTAGTTTATTTACGACTATTAGTGGTGTACGTTCCACATGAACCACTAATTGGTTTATAAAGCCGCCGATCTTTTTCCGTGTTGAGTTAGTTTGTGGTGTTCAGGATCTAGAAGAACTGTGCATTATTCGGAAGCACAAGGAATGAAAAATTCCCGGCTGTCAGGGAATATACTAGTATTGCCAAGCTAAGGAAAAACGCCGTATGAACATTCGAGAGTTGCCGTTTGCTCGGATGAAACATGTATTCCGAAAGAAAGTTATGCATATTCTTCCTTGAAATTTCGAGATATTGTAGATTCAACTGCGAACAAAATCATCGCAAAAATTTGAAAAAAAAAAAAAAAAACATTTAAAACTTTCTCAATTAATTAGTTTTTTATTGAAGGAAATTAGGCAACGCCTCAAGGTTCATACGGCGTTTTTCCTTAGTACGGCAGAGTAGACATGGTACGAATTTAAGCGCTCTGATTCTCGTTTCTAAATCGTAGAACATGATTCGCACAACGGATTTTACTGAAACCGACCCTTAACTAAGATATTAACGTTCTTAGTTGGCCACGAGAATTTTGAATTTCCTGCTCAGAAGGAAAACAAGGGTCTACTTGAATCAAATCACGCGCAACAAAAGCTTTGATAGGCTTCTCAATCGAGCAATGTTCTTTCCCCGCCTTGTGCTGTTTAAATTTTTCAAAACGTTCTACAGCTAAGCGGAAGCACCGAAATCGAGTTTTTCGTCTTTTCATTCAGTAGAGACTGTCAAAGTAAAGTTTAGTGCATGATTTGACTCAATTAGACTTTGGTTTTCTCCATGAGCAGGAGATTTTGAATTCTTGCATCAAAAAACGTCGAATAGTAAGGAGTTAATTTTAGTAATTTTCGTTGCGCGAATTGTGTTGTGCGTGAAATTTTGGTTAGGACTTGTGAGTCAGAATGCTGAAATTCGTAGCTTGTCAGCTGATCCATTGGCGTGGAAACCCATGAAATCCCAACTCTTTACTCCCGTTGCTCGTAAAGAGCGATTGAGTTTTTCATGGTTGGCCAAGTATCTTACTATTTACAAGGGGAACTTACGGACCTGCCGCCTCCGATTGGGCTGAATTTTTTTTTACAGACTCTATGGACCAATTCTAGAGGTCAATTTGAGCCGTTTTCCCGAATGCGCAATAGGAAGGGCGTAAAAAATTCCCAAAAGTTGCGTTTTCGGCGTGTGATTTGGTCGTGCGGCGCGTGGCAACACTGAAGCAGCCTCTAGTACCGCTTTATCGGCCTGACGGTATCTGCGGAGTCCGGAGCCCTACTGCACACGTACTGGTTCCATGATAGTGATGTCCCGGGTTCGATCCTCGACTTTTTATTTTCCGCATGATCACGTAACATTTTATTTTGAATTCTTCATCCGCATTAATAAATCAAGCAGTTCCGATCACTATCCCCCCCCCCTCATTTTACGTACATTTCCCCCCGATATTTATTCACATTGGCCACATATAATCGTATGAAACTTCATTGATATAAATTAATGAATTAAAAAAAAAAAGCTTCCGGAGGATCTCTACCATGACAGATTCCTGTGGAGAATAGGCGTCGCAGAGCGCCCTAGCGCGCCGTAAAAGCGGCTCATACATACACAATTAAAAAGAAAAAGAAAACCTTATTTGTTACTACATCATCTTCAAATGTTTTCCTGGAAAAATATGTAATGTGTAAATAAATCGAAGAGCGACCCCAAACCCATGTGCATGCAAGGATCACCAAGAAACACATTATTTTAGCCCTTTGCTTTTTAATTCATTAATTTATATCAATGAAGTTTCATACGATTATATGTGGCCAATGTGAATAAATATCGGGGGGAAATGTACGTAAAATGAGGGGGGGGGATAGTGATCGGAACTGCTTGATTTATTAATGCGGATGAAGAATTAAAAATAAAATGTTACGTGATCATGCGGAAAATAAAAAGTCGAGGATCGAACCCGGGACATCACTATCATGGAACCAGTACGTGTGCTGTAGGGCTCCGGACTCCGCTGAAACCGTCAGGCCGATAAAGCGGTACTAGAGGCTGCTTCAGTGTTGCCACGCGCCGCACGACCAAATCACACGCCGAAAACGCAACTTTTGGGAATTTTTTACGCCCTTCCTATTGCGCATTCGGGAAAACGGCTCAAATTGACCTCTAGAATTGGTCCATAGAGTCTGTAAAAAAAAATTCAGCCCAATCGGAGGCGGCAGGTCCGTAAGTTCCCCTTGTTAGTTAGTGAAATTTTCGGTTAGTGAATAATAAGTGATAACTTAGTAATGTGGCAATAATAATCGCAAATTGATTGCATTTTGCAAAAGGGAACCAAGAGCATTGCAATGTTGCTAAGATTGTGCAACTTCTTTTGTCTTGGAAGAAAAGCCGAATTTTCTACGAACAGTCTCTATTTTTCTCTCTAAAAACTGTAAATTTAAGACAAAAATTTCTATGTAAATTTCATATTTTTTCAGGATTTCAATAGTTATTGCAAAGGATGAAATTGCACAATCTTAATAGCTATATTGCAATGCTTTTGGTCCCTTTATGCAAAATGCAATCCAAATAATCAATAATTTAGCTATTGGCGATCTCAAACTGTAAAGAATTAAGTGATAAGCATGTTGATTATAATAAAGCACTATTCATCAATAAAACTTAAAGCTCTTAAATATAGAGGAATGCAAAAAGCTCTAGTGAAACATAAATTTGATTTTTTTAAGTTAATGTAAATTCTAAAATTGGTCAGTGTCACTCTTTGGTGAGATAAGGAGTCCCCCAGTGATTCATCGAAAAACATCGTAGATAAATAACTGTGCACGTAGTTTGTAGGATGTCTAAGGGTTAAGTTTAAAACAACTCTTTAATATGAACCTTTGGACCGTGCTTATCTCCACTAAAAGTTTTTTTGTTTCACATTTTTGGGAAACGTATGATATCTATCTCCTAGGTAACCACCTAGGCCTCTTTGTAGGCTTAAAATCGGTCACTTGCGCCAGTCACAGAATCGCCCTCTGATGGCTTGAGCTTTTTATCGTAGATTAGCAAAAAATAAAATGATCCGTTCAAACGTCAAGTTCCTACGTCCAATCTTAACGAAAATTTCGCTCATCGGAAAACACCGTTTATGACGACGTAATAACACCTTGGTCTCAACAATAAATTATTTACACTTCGACACTGGTTGCTTGACGTATAAAACGGATGAAACCAAGGTGGAAGAAAGCACAGTATACTTTATCCTGGTGATTGATATCATACAGCGTTTTTTTCCGAGGAGCGATATCTTTTTTAAAAACGGACGCAGAAATTCGCTCCTTTATTTTTGCTGATCTACATCCTTAAACCATTAAAATTCAATTTTTCGATTAGCGCAACTGACCCATTTAAAAATTGGACGTATTTTTACCAAACGGGACTATGTGCATTATGACGTGAACTCTGTTATGCATGTATTCTTATGGGTCTCAGGGCTCATGTCTTAATGCAAATAGTTCTGTTTGGCAGAAATACGACCAATTCACACGAGAAATAAGCCAACAACATTAAATTTCACTGATCATAATAATTTCATGGATGCAAGACCCTGAACAGGACCCGTCGCAGAAATTGCCTCTCAGAAAATCTTTATTTTTGAAGTAGTTGCGTTGTGTTTGTTTTTCATTCAAATTTTCCGACACTTTAAATCAAATTACGAAGAAAATTATGTAAAAAATTGGAAGAATCATATTTTCAGATTGTCGGGACAATTCGTGATTTGTCCAAGGAGATTTGGCAACGTCTAAAGGCTCATACGGCGTTTTTTCCGAGCACAACAGATTTTCTTCCATGATTTTCCCAAGTTTCTCTGACGGTAACCCCCATAAAGTCGTCGCCCTCCCGACATACGGGCGCAACTACACTCTGCAATGAACCCTGCTGTTCATACAATTTAACGTTTTTCCGAGCTCATCTCAATATGTAACTACGCCTTTTTGTGAGGCAGGCGACCACGTGACAACACTGCCGATGCATAATGTACAAGGACTGTCTCTTTAATTTCCCGCATGTAAATACGGACTGTGGCTTTTATTTAGCCCTCTAATAGACGGAATGCACCGCTTTAATGGGCTCAAATCAACCTGCGGTCGCATGCAAACTTGAGCGCAACCTTTCACGCATTGGATTAGCCTCCCCCTCCCCCTTCAGCCCAGTTTGGAAACCGACGGATATCCCATTTTAAGTAAATGACTTATCCGTTGTTTTTACCTGTGAGGCATCTCTTATTTATCTCTTCACTTCCGCGTTTTTCTTGTCACCCCGAAGTCAGCATTACCGTCAAATTTGATACCTTACATTTGGACTAAATTTTGCAATAAGGAACCATTATTTCCGGCTCATTTTAGAAACAACATATACGCTATTGGTTTCCCTAAGCAGAAAGGCGCTTTTATGGAAGAGCCGGAGCTAGTGTTTCTTTATCGCAAAATTTAATCAATTTAATCCATCGCTCCCGATCGAATTTGATTGTGTTAATATTTCGACGCATTTTGCTGAAAATAACTGTAAAAATAAATTAAATCGAAAGGAACTATGACGAACGCAAACCCTATGAACATAGTTCCTTTTGATGTGATCAATTTTCACCTTATTCTTCTACGTGCATGTAATTTAGTCTGACTTTACTCGGGATGTAACCACCAGATTTACACCCCTTCCCTATCAATA